GAATCAGGAGAAATCAGGAGGTGAGATGTTAAAGATGTTTGAGTGTGATGGTGTGTGTGATTGTGCGTCACAGCTCCTCCTCAGAGTCTGTCACACTGCTGCTGTGAGGGGCACCTGGGCTCTTCCTCACAACTGTCTCAGAGTGGATCAGCTGAGTCTGAGAACTGTGGGGAAATACAGTGAAGAACTGAGCTCTTTACATGTCTCCACAGGTGGGAGGAGAAGTTCTGCAGATCACAGAAGTCATCATCTCTGTGTGAGGAGCAGGACGAGGCTGTAGAGAACTTCCTGTACCAGGGAGATGAGGACGAGCTCAGAGAAGAGACACAGCGTCTCTACAGATACCAGAAGCTCCTGGAGCAGTGGTGCGAGACTTTCACATGAGAAGAACATGATGTTTCTGTCTGGGTCATGGACTGTCTGAAGGTCCACAGAGACATCTCCCGCCTCACCTGGGTGAAGAGTCTACAGTCGTCTGTGTCTGGGTAAGACTGAGTGATGTTCTCCTCATTTCTGTCTCTTCTCTTGTTCAGATCTGATCTCTGCTGCTCTGAGCAGGTTTGGGAGGTTCTACCAGAGCAGCAGTGGAATCATTTTTGTCCTAAATTCTCCTCATAGTTTTTGTGGATGTGACTGAGGAGACGTGTGAATGTGATCGATTATTATTGGTTTGTTTCACAGATTCTTTGTGGATAAAGAAGAATTGAAACAGAGGATTGTGCAGCTCCTCCTCAGGTAAAGTCTGATCACACCTGAGTCTGACCTGGTTTAATGTGAGACGTAGAGTTTCTAGAATCTTTATTTAACATTTTCAAACATGAGCTCTGTGTCCCAGATGGAGCTGTACAGGTGAAGTGTGAACTCTTCTAATCAAATACAACTTTTACTCACAACTGTTCATTTCTAACTCTTACAAACGTTTATACACAGTCCAGTTGTTGATGAGCACAGATTTGAAACGTTCACTTCCACTGTAGATCAGACCAGAGGTTCTGACTCTGTGTTTGACTCCACAGAGAAGACGAGAGGAGCAGAGAGCAGGACTCTGAGGAACATCTGCAGAAGAAGAAGAAGGACCTCATCAGTTTGTTCAGAGACATCGAGGAATCAGGAGAAAACTGGCACAATCTGTACCTGACAGATAATACTCCCTACAACTGTACAGCAATCATCATTTCGTTTTGTTTTCGTTACAAACTCTTGTAAATAACTGAGATTTTTTATTTACCTATTTGTGTTTTTTTTCTTATACATTTACATTTATATATTTATGTTTTATTATTTAACGTCCGTCTCTTGATGTTTTTAAGATTTATTTAGAGTTTTATTACACAGTTTCTCTTTGTTTTGTCTGAGTTTAAGTCTAATTTTGCATCTGTGATTTGTATATTTATATTTAACCATTAATTAAAATAAACAGATGATTTTACCATAGACTTCAATGTAATGATGTCCGAATCCCAAAACTAAAATATGACAATATCAGAACCAGAAACAAAAGTGAAATGGTTCAAAAGACTTGAAAAGATCGACTTTGACAATAGACACGTCCCACTGGGAAAACAAACATGGACGTTTGATGTTCACTTTTTAGGAAAATCCTTCCCAGTGTGAATTGCGCGATGACCGGACGTCTGAGATTCTTGATGCGTGTATTTTAAGATACTGTTGCATTACCGGGGTGCGTCAGAAGGTGGCAGTGTAGGGTGTAGGAAAACAAAAAGAACCACCCCAGATCCTGTTCTGATATCACGACATGGTTTTGGGAGAAAAACACAAAAACCAACAGCGTCCAGACACAGAACAAACACTTGACAGGACGAGCAGCAGGGGAGGGGAGTGAACCCGACGAAGGCACCAGCTCCACATCCACAGATAAAAAGTGCTGGATACAACAGACTCGCCACCACCAGGTCGAGGTGTGAAGCTGCAAGAGGCTGAGGATTTAACTTCTGAAACATGAAACGCCAAAACTCGATTGGATTATTGTGATGCACATTATGTTGGTGTCAGCCAAAACGCACTTTCCCAGTAGCAACGGGTCCAAAACTCAGTGGCTCGACTTTTAACTGGAACCCGGAAACACACGAGCGTCTCTCCTATTTTAGCTTCTCTCCATTGGCTCTCAGTGTCTTTTAGAGTTGATTTTAAAATTAGTTTTATTCACTTTTAAGTGTTTGCACGGCCCAGCGCCCTCCTACCTCACTGACTTGATCCACCCTTATGTCCCCTGTCCTCTCGCACTCTCAGGTCTGCAGACCAACTCCAGCTCGCCGTCCCAAAAACTAAACGAAAACTTCGTGGGGACTGTGTGTTTTCTGTTTCTGCCCCTCGGCCCTGGGACCAGTTGCCATTAGTGATCAGAGGCCGAGTCTGTACCTGTTTTTAAATCACTCCTAAAAACACACCTTTTTTCCCTGACTTTTAATAAGTGACGTGTATATTTTTTGTTGAGTATTTTACAGTTTTTCTATATTTTTAGTAGGTGTATTTTATGTGTACCATATATTTCTTTTACTGCGATTGTTTGTCTGTCCTGTGTTTGTGTACAGCACTTTGGTTTACTGTAAAGTTTTTAAAGTGCTTTATAAATAAAGTTGGTATGGTATGGGATGGTAAAACAAAAGGTTCAAGAAAAAGCCACGAACAAAACAAATAATCCATAATTATGTTTTTTAAATCAGACCTGAACTTGTATTTGGAGTCATTCATGCATGTTTCAGAATCTTTAATCTTTTATTTTCTTTTAAAATGGTTTTATTTTTTGATCATTTGTCAAGATTTAATAAAGTGTGAACAAAATGAAATGTGGAAACAAAACTAAGTGTGTCACATTTTCTTTGGACGCTGCACAAACAGGAAATTCAAGATTTAACTTTCTGTTTTGGATATAAATCTGCTTCTGTCTTTGCACAAACACAACCAGGACTAGACCAGGACTAGACCAGGACTAGACCAGGACTAGACCAGGACTAGACCAGGACTAGACCAGGACTAGACCAAACTTACACAATAGTGCTCAAATTGGGTTCAAACCAGAACATGTGTGCACATAACTTGAGTCCTGCCATGACACACGTCTCCATGAACAGTTGATAGTTAAAGTCAGTTAAATATAATCAATCAATGAACCTGCACAGACATGACAGGTGGAAATTAACATCTCCTGTTAAGGTTAATGTAAACATTGTGCGCTGTCCCTGTCTCAAATAAATAAATAAATAGATATAAATAGATGTCTGGAAAACACCTACACACACACCCAGTCACATGAACATCAGCCCTGCCCTTCCACTCTCTGCCCACTACGTCACTGCATCACTTTATATCTCCCTCCTCTTCCTCTCCTCATCAGAGTGTCTGGTTCCTGTTCTGAGATCTACAGCTGAAGCTCCATCAGCTTTTAAAGAACCTTTTTCTCCACTTCGTTTTTGCTTTTCAGACATGGTGAGTCCAGACTGAAACACTTCACTGTTAGAAAAGGACTTTAAACTAGAGTTGTCCCGATCCGATCATGTGATTGGAAATCGGCGCCAATCATGTGACTGCGGACTTGATCTGGACTCAAACGTTATGTTCCGATCAGGCGTCGGATAAATAATATACATATATAACGCACAGAACACAACAGTTTTGGGTTTTTTTTGTTTTTTTTTACTGAGGCGCAGGATTTGTTCAGGGACGTCCAGTCAGTGCGTCTGTCTGTCCCAGCGCCTGTTCTAATAGAGACACTTACGCTGGGACTTTTGGGTTGTGTCGTGCTCGGGCGCTGTTGCCTGTGGTTCTGTGGCCCGTGTTCACATCTGCACGGCCGTTGCTGTTGTCACACGGTGCTGTTTGTTTTCATGTTGCAAACATGCGTGGTGGCGGTGTGGGGGAGAGAGGCTGTGGAGTTTCTGTCGTCTCGTTTTTATTTGGTAAGAATTTGTATTATTTAGAGATCACAGACGAGCCTAAATGTTTCAAATGTGGTGTAATGCACGTTTCCATATAATATCAAATCTCCAAAGTGTAGATTGTGCAGAGTTGAGTCTCAGGTCTGGTCTGGTTCTGGTCTGGTCCTGGTCTGGTCCAGGTCTGGTCCAGGTCTGGTTCTGGTCTGGTCCTGGTCTGGTTCTGGTCTGGTTCTGGTCTGGTCCTGGTCTGGTTCTGGTCTGGTTCTGGTTCCTGTTTTGTTCAGTTCATTAAGTTTAATAAGTGACACATTCCAAGACTGTGAAAAATCCAGATCTTCAACACTGATGCTTCATGTTTAGAGTTTGGTTCATGTTTAGAAAAGTGAATAAAATGAAAGTTTTGGACATTTGATTTTTTACAAGTTCAGCCTGATCCTCAAACATCCTGGATCTGATTCTTTGCTCTTAGTTCATTTTATTTTATAGTATCGTAAAGTATCGGATCAGGACTCGGTATCGGCAGATACTCAAAATCAAAGGACTCAGACTCAAGGGCAAAAAAATGTGATTGGTACATCCCTCGTTTAAACACGGTGAGTCCAGACTGAAAACACTTCAGTGTTACAAAAAGACTTTAACAGAGTCTCTGTGTTTGTACCATAAACATGTTGAAACAGGAGAGCAGGTTTTAAACTTAAATTATCATGAAATTTAATCAAAACAAACTGAGCTTTTGTACTAAGCGTTTCCAGCCAGTGTTTTGCTACTAACCAGTTTTTCCTGTTTTGAGTTTCTTTTGAATGTCGCTCTTGCAAAAAACAACCTCAAACCTCTGAGACATTCTGACTAAAGGTTTCACTTATTTCATCATTTTTATTTATTTAAAAGTGTATAATAGTGATGAAAAATATGTGGTTTTTTTGTCCAAGAATTGGTGTTTGTGTTTGTGCACACACTGCAGCGGTGTGAGGCCTGGTGTGTGTGTGTGTGTGTGTGTGTGTGTGTGTGTGTGAGACTCTGTGTGTGTGTTGTGATGATGATGAGCACATGATTGAAGATGTCAGGTGCCTGGTTCGCCTCTTGGCTCTGCTCAGTTTTATCAGTTTTATATTGTTTTTATCCACTGTCATAAAACCATCAGGTCTCTGCTGGTGCATGAATGAATCATGATCACAATGAGTTGTTTAATTAAGAGAGATTACTTCTTCATGTTCTATTTATCACACAAACATGTCAGACTCTTTCTACCTGACACATGTTCTTGCTCGTGTCCTCCATGTGAATGTGTTTATGACAAAGAAGCACAAACACAGAGGAGTGTGAGCTGGTCTCCCGACTTGTCGTTGTTCTCTTCTTTTCCATGGGATTACACAAACTGTCTGTGCCGGTGTGTCTCCAGGTGCACACCTGTTCCACCTGAGGTGTGGCTGGTGCTGTTGGGCGAGTGACTTCAAAACTGTAATGTGTTATTTATTTATTACATGTTACTGTCATTTCAAACTCATTCAATACAGTATAACTGTATTTAAAATATAAAACATGACACCAATATAACAGCACTTTAACTCTCACCAAAAGAACTGAACCAGGACTAAACTTGGACTAACACTTGGACTCGTAGTTCCTGAGTGAACCCTGAGTTCGTGGAGCAGTGTTTCCTCAAAGCTCGATTGGGCGTCGGCTGTTCTTCGTCTCGTGGAGCGTAGAGTTCTGCGTCGGTCCTTTCGCTCACGGTCACCCAATGGTCTACGCGGGCTTCACCTCCGGACCGTCCCGACACTCGGAACCGTAACGATGGTGTTTCACCACTGCTGATATCACTGTGACTTTAGTGAATGTGTATGAATAAAACAAAAAACTCACCACTTCAGTCCATCTTAAAAATGCAAATGTGAAACGCGACACTCACATTTGTACACAGGAAAATATTACAGTTTTTTCCTGTAATGCCACTTTACTGCATTACAGCAAAAAGCAACGCAGTACAGGAACTCGTTATTTTTATAACAATTTACTCCAAACACTGGTGGCTGGTGCCCCTTGGACTCCTTGTCGGACAGTGGGAGGAGGTCTGTGTGTTTAACTCTGACTAGAAGAAGAGTTCTGGGGCACCACTCAACAAATGTTGAGAATTATTACCAATACAATATAACAAATTACCTACATTAATTAATTAATCAATATGTAATTAAACAGTTGTTCTGAAGGTTTGTAAAATTCTTGTCCATTTCACTGAGCCATATCTGAAATAACATCACTATTCCCCAAATCAAACTGTGGTTCATGAAGATTTATTGACCAAGTTAAACAGAAGTGTTTAAATATGAAATATGCAGATGAGTGTAGGTGATCCTCGACTGGTGTCTACAGATCTGAGATTAGGCACGACTTTAAGAGTTATATAAAGTTAGGCACTGAGTCTAAATTGATGAAGTAAACCATTCTGTGACATGTGCATGTGACCAGGAGAGAGTGATGTTCGGTGCAGTCCTTGAGTGTAAACTCTCCAGGTTTAGTCTCTCCAGGTTTGGTCTCTCCAGGTTTAGTCTCTCCAGGTTTGGTCTCTCCAGGTTTAGTCTCTCCAGGTTTAGTCTCTCCAGGTTTAGTCTCTCCAGGTTTAGTCTCTCCAGGTTTAGTCTCTCCAGGTTTAGTCTCTCCAGGTTTAGTCTCTCCAGGTTTGGTCTGACATTGGCAGAACACTGGTTCTGAAGAATCAGACGAGCTGGGACAGATGAAGGCCATGTGAACTAAACAGTAACTCCGACTTGGGTGTGTTTCCTCTGTATTTAAAGAGGAGCACAAGTGTCCATGAGGTCTGATAGTGCTGGTCATCTCATTAAGACTAATTAATCAAAAGGCTTCTGGATACAAAAATGCAAATATTTTAATTTGGAAAAATATGAAAGCTTCACTTTTGGTCAAATCAGCTCCAGTGATTGGAATGAAAACAAGTCAAAAGACGGGTGTGAACTTGTTGCATAGAGAGGTTCTCGGACGTTGTCCCTTGTGGAAAGTCTTTTTTAAAGGAGTTGCTCAGTTTCTCTGTCTCTCTCTCTCCTGTCTGCTCCCACTGGGTCTCTCTCTTGGAAGAACTGGGAGAACTGGGGTGGGGGTCTCAAAGTTAAGAGTCCTTTGTGACCGCCCGCTAAGTTTTAGTGGAAAAGATTAGATCCAATGAGGTGTGAGGTGTGTAGGGGATGAGGTGAGGACTGGACTAGGAACAATCCACAATATTATTAAAACCCATATACTGAGTTTGGCAGCAAAAGAGTTGCTTTGGTTTTAACATAAATTCATTTTCTTTTAACCCACATCCTGCTTTATTCTGTGCGTGCTCATGCACTGTGCACTCTTTCTTTCGGATTTATTTACTCATCTGCTTCTCTGCCTCTGTAATCATGTCATTTACCAAATAAATCAAGTTTTTAAATGTGCACAAACTCCGGACAGTGAGCTGTTAAGTTTCTTTTTCACTTGAAATGTACAACTTTTATTGTGATACACATTGTTTTATGTAGGTCATTGCATTTTGACTAAAGCAGTGTCTCTGGCATTAGGAAGAAGACTCAACTAGTTGAACTGTTCTGGCCCAGTCGTGTCTTTGCAACGATGGAGGTAAGTTACACATTTTACAAATACTTTGTGTTCATGAACAGAACAAACTTCATTTTATTTTCACTACTCAAGGACGACGAGGTTCACCTTTACACTGCAGAAGGTAAAGAGAGTGTGACTAAAGAGGAGCCCGTCACCTCAAGTCCAAAGGGTCAGTATAAGAAAACTATTATAACACTAGAAGTTATCTTTTTAAAATCAACTAAGATCTAGATTTAAACCTAAAAAGGATATTAACAATGTTTCAGATGGTTTGTGAGAGCTTGAATTTCTACTCTCCCAGTTTCACTAGATAAAAACAAAACACTTTGTCATCTAATGGTCTTTATTTCAATGTACAATGCAGATTCCCACTGAAGGCAACAAAACTGTGAATGAACACACAGTGAAAGTAGTAAAAAAACAATAACTGTGTAATAACTTCAAAATGTCCACTCTTTGCTTTAAAGCAAAGACTGGACATTTTGAAGTTATTACACATTACACACAATATCAATAATAATCATTGTAGTGCACAGACATTTTGGGGGCAGGAGCTCAGAGAAAAATAAGGACACTTTGTGCACATGTGGAACTACGGCTGTTTTATTATAGATTAAAATAAAAGAAGATCACTGCAAGTCTTGTAACACAGAAATAACTTATGGTTGGTACAAAATAAGAGCTATTATAGCTTAATGCCTGATTTAGTACCACCAAACCACTTTGTGTACTTAAAAATAAAATGTGGACAGCTTTTAAGATATTTCAGTAAAATTGGAGGAACAGTTGAACATTAAAATCGGAGCTTTAAAAGGCCCTAAACAGTGAACATGACTCTGGTCTTGACTCTGACCTTTCGTCTTCATGTGGCGTCGCTTTGGTCCAGGAGAAGAGCACAGAGCTGCTTCCCTGGGCTGCCTGCTGTAGCTCCTTTTCTCTTTCCTTTTTTAGCCTCTCCTTTCTTGGCATTATTCTGCAATTATATACAACAGCAGTTATTATAACAACAGACCAAAAGTATGAATAAGACTGAAGAGCTGCTGGAGACATTACAACAAACCAGAAGGGGATTTTTCCGCTGGCAAATGGGAACTGCCCGTTTGTTATTTAGCTAATAAATTTGTTAATTATGTAGCCTAATGTGAATCTACATAATAGTAAAGAGCGCGATAAAAAAGGCGAGGAGCATCACATTGACGTGAGGCTGACGTGAGGCAGATGGACAGGTAGGATGTTCTAGAAAGTTTACGAGGACACATGCTGTTGTGGTAAAGCGTCATGCAGGGAGCGTGTGTTTGTGATGTGCTGCACAGTGTGTGTGGGCTCCAGACGAGCGCACAGGCTGCAGAGACGCCCCGCGCTCCCGCACACCGGTACAAGTTTGTTGTCAACATCAGAAGCTGAAATATGATCACACTCGTCGAGTGTCAGACCTCGAGTCCAAGACAAGACTGAGTCCAAATGCACTCGAGACCAAGACTGTAAAAAAAAGATCTCAAGTCCGGTCTTGAGACCAAAACAGGTCTGGAGTAGTACGACACTGGGGAAAACAACACACTCGACTCGATTGGTGTGTGACCTGCTGGTGGGGCAGGGGAGGACGGCTGTGTGGTTCTATACTCAAAGAACTTGGAGCCTCCTGCAGCGCGGCTCAGTTTGTGTCGCTCTGTGTGTTCACGTTGACAAAGGAAGAGACTGAGGTGTGTGTGGAGGAGGAGCATATCAGGGCATTATTATCACACACTTTTAATCGTCCAGCATTTTTACATGATCATGTCAACATGGACCACAGAACACTGTGAAAAAAAAGGCACCTTTCTGGACACTCAAGGATGCCTTGCGACAATAAGCAAACAAAAGCATAAACAAAGTTAAATACACTTCAGAAACATACAGTCAAAATCTTACGGTGAAAGCAGGACAGTGAAACTATGGTCTGGTGCTGTGGTGGAGTGAACAGGCCAGAGACAGGTGTGTTTTCTGTTTGATTTGACGTGTGGGAGTGAGACAGTGTTCCAGGGGGGAGGAGCAGAACGACTGAAGGCTTTGCTCCCCACGGTGACAGGACAGAGGAAAGAGAGAGCTGGAGAGAGGAGGAGAAGTGGAGGAAGAAAGAGGAGGATGACATCAGACTCTTTACCCGAAGGGAGGGAGAGATGGAGGAGCAGTCAATGGAAATGGAGAAGGGACTGGTCTTGTTTAGGGTGGATTTGGTGCCTACAAGGAGAAGTTCGGTTTTATTGCTGTTGAGTTTGATGAAGTTTGAGGTGAACCAGGATTTAACTTCATCAAGACAGTTGATGAGGGAGGACGCAAACATATTTGGAGTTATTTGTATTGTAACATAATTCCATACATCCATAATTAGACCTGGTGGTATTTTGAAAGTCAAATATTTAAGAATGTGGTAGTTGATGTGAAAGGTTTCAGGGCATAATATAAATACTGTATGTTCCAAACATTGTCACAGTTGTCACTGGTCAAATTTGTGTGGACTGTGAAGATAAAGTGAACAAATAGTGGTATAATATAAATATTTATTTTTGTCTCACAATCACATTTTTTATGTGTATTCCCAGGTTCTAAACTGGAGAGATTTCTGGAAGATGTGAAACTGGAGCATTACTACAAAGAAAAACTGTCCATGAGCACAATTCTGCAGATTGATTCCAAGGCGATAACTGACAAACCCATCAAGTCAAAGACAGACGTGGTCTGGTATTTTCTAAAGAAACTTATGATGGCAAATGTAACAGCGAGAAACATGGACTACGCCTCAGTGAGTGACCTGGACAGTGTTAAATCAAATACAGAGTCAGACTTTGATGATCTGTTTGCTAGTGAAAACTTGGATATGCTGAACCCTCTTGACATAATAACAGCTTTGTTTCTGTGCTCTGATGGCTTTGTGCAGCAGGAGCTGTCACTCAAAATGTCAATGTGTCAGTTTGCTGTTCCTCTGCTGCTTCCAAACTGCGACACAAACCAGTGCACACTGATGCTGTGGGCCTTAAGAGACATTGTGAAAAAGTACAGGCCTAAGTCCCTCGTTGAATCCAAGGGCTTCAGAGAAGAACGCATCGTTCACTCTGAAATCCCAATGATCTCCTTTGTGAGACTTGGTGAGTGCTCTTTGTCCAAATCTGAGATCCTCAATAAACTCCTGAGCAATTCTGAGCAGTATCATGACACCTTTGTGCACCACGACATGCAGTGTGGTGACTGCCCAAAAATCATCTCTAATGGACTGGCTGAAATTACTTGGTACCTTCCCTGTGGAAACAAGAACATTGACATTTTTGATGAGCCAGTGGCAATAGTTAACCTTCATGGGGATATTGCCTGTTTTGAAACACAGTACGCTTTATTATGTCAAGTATCTTCAGCGGTTTTTGTATTTTTTGACAATTGTAATTTAGATTACACCCTTCTGAGAAAAACAAACCCAAAAGACAAGATTTACTTAGTGGTTGACCAGAAAAACAGACATTTCAATTTAGAAAATCTGAAAATAGTAGCCAGGGAGTTGGGTTTGAATAGAAATAGAATTACTGCAAAGAAAAACACAAAAAACAATGCAGCCTTCATCAAGGATCTGCGTGAGTCTCTCACCAATGTGATTGAGAACACCACAACTAAAATGCCAATAGAACAAATGACTGACATTGCGCTTAATTTGGGAATTCATGTTGATGAGTGTAAAACTGAATGTCAGAAAGCCAAAGACAAAGCAAATGCATTAACTGGCAACATCAGTGACATAGTTCAGTTCAAAGAAACGCAGCTCCCCCTGCAGCGACAAACATGGAAGGATCTAACATCACTTGAAAAAGAGGAATGTCGGCTTAGGAAAGTTGGAACTCAAAGCATTGAACATTACAAAGGTACACTGCAAAAGCAAAAAGAAGAACTTAGGAAAAAACAGAATTCTCATGACATGAGCAAAGCAATGACCTGCTTCATTGAAGCAATATCCAGCCCTGGCATAGAGAGGTCCTTCTTCTTAAAATGGCTAAGGATAAATCTTGATAACCTGTCTCATGACAAGTTGTCAGACCTCAGAGAACAATATAAAAGAAAATGTAATGATTCAGAGAACAAAGAAGAGATTAAAGAAATTGACGAGCAACTCTCCAATAGTTCCCTGGGAACTGAACACTTCTTCCGTGAAATGGGTCAAATCTATGAGGCGTCAGTGTCTCTTCCAGAAAATGACTCTTCACACAAACAGTTACAACATCTCCCCAGACTCTGTGCACAGCTGCTGCTTGACGGCTTTCCTCTGGAGCTGGTGGATGGAGATGTCTCCAACATCCCTCTCAGATGGGTGAGTGATGTTCTGGCCCAGCTCCATGACCTGGTGTCTCCAAACAACAAGATTCTTTTGGTCACAGTTCTAGGAGTTCAGAGCACGGGGAAGTCCACTCTCCTCAACACCATGTTTGGAGTGCAGTTTGCTGTGAGCAGTGGCCGATGCACAAGAGGAGCCTTTATGTTACTCATCAGAATCAGTGAAGATCTGAAAGCAAGTCTCAAGTGTGACTTCTTAGTGATCATTGACACTGAGGGCCTCAAGTCTCCAGAGCTCGCTCAACTGGACGAAAGCCATGAGCATGACAATGAGTTAGCAACTCTTCTGGTTGGATTGAGTGACATCACTATTATCAATATCGCTATGGAGAATTCTACAGAAATGAAAGACATCCTGCAGATCGTTGTACATGCTTTTCTCCGAATGAAAGAAGTGGGCAAAAAACCCAAATGTCAGTTTGTCCACCAGAACGTGTCAGATGTTTCTGCTCATGACAAGAACCTGAGAGACAGAAAACTGCTCTTGCAGCAGTTAAACGAGATGACTCAGGCTGCAGCCAAAATGGAGAGAAAAGAGAAGTACAAGAGCTTCACTGATGTGATGGACTATGATCCTGACACTGGAAACTGGTACATCCCTGGACTGTGGAACGGAAACCCCCCAATGGCCCCAGTCAACGCAGGATACAGTGAAGCTGTCTATGAACTCAAGAAAAATGTCATGCACATTTTAGAGAATCATGCAACACCTGCAAATGATATTGTGCAGTTCCATGAGTGGATCAGAAGTCTGTGGGAGGCAGTGAAACACGAAAACTTCATCTTCAGTTTCAGAAACAGCCTGGTGGCTGATGCCTACATGAGACTGTGCACAGAATACAACAAATGGGAATGGGACCTAAAGATAGACATGTACTCATGGGTTACCACAGCTCAGACTAAAATAAAAAACTTTGGAACCATTGCAGACAAAGACAAAGCACAGTATTCTGATGTCAAACAACTACAAACTTATTTAAAATCAGAGGCAAGTACAAAGCTTTCATCATGGGAAACTACTCTTATTGACAAGCTGTCAGAGTACTTCAAACAAAAAGAGGGCCATGTCTATCTTGTAGAAAGATACAAACAGGAGTTTGAAAACAGCATTAAGAGTCTTAGAAAAGCTTTAGAACATTCAGTGTCAAATGAGCTGAATGCAGCAGCAGACATGAAACAGGGACAGGCAGAGCTGGACAGAGTAAAAGAGAAATACACTAAAGAACTCGAGGGTCGGGTTTGTAAACTGATTGAGAACTGCAGAGAGAGACATGCCGACATGACAGAGGAAGAACTAGACACAAGAATTTGATCAGATGTGGAACAAAACTCTAAAAGAATTAATAGATTATAAACAACATCCTCTTAATATCTTTGATAATGTGGATTTCCACCTCAGACAGAACCTGAAAGACAAAGGGAGTCTTGCATGTGAGGAATTAAACAAAAGGAGACTGACAGACTGTGGACATGGTCCATACAAATGTACTGCTGAAGGATGGTTTAAACACTTTGTGCATCAGATTTCCAAATATGTGAAACATGAAGATTCAGTGATGAGGGCACAAATGTTAGCAGATAGGATCATTGCTGCATGTCAACACTGTGTGAATCAGAAAGTAGAGAAAAAAAACAATTATCGTGAAACCTACATTCAAGAGATTCTAACCATTATTGATAAAAATCTAAACAATGAAGAAATGATCAAGGACATGGGCTTCCAAGTCTCTCTGAAACAACACATCTGTGCAGGAGCAGCCAGAGAGTTTCAGAAAATGCATGACAATTTCCTCAAAGAAAATGATCCCTACCAACGTCTTGTTCAAAATAAGAAAAACTTCCATACTGCTTTTATAGATGTGTTCTATGAACGAGATCAGTGCAAAAAGAAAGCAGATGAGTTTGCACACAAATGTTTAGGACCTGCTGTAAAAGACTTCATCAGCAGCTCTTTGGGTCCTGCAATCGTAAGTGAAATGCACACTTACAAAGAGTTTAGCACACGGATGGTTTTCCAGTACACAGTTTTGCTGGATCTGCTTCAGAAAGACAGTTTCTCAGATTTTCTCTGTTACATACGCTCTTATGAAAACTATGTGAAACAGTGGATACTGGACCAGATCCTTAAACACCTCTCGGAGCAAAAGGACATGCTTCAGTCTGAGAGCCAACTTCTTGAATCAGGCCTTACGAGTATAAAGAAATCTCTGATGAAGGCTAAATCAGCCAGCAGTGCAACTGTCAAGGAGTTTGTGGAAATTATCTGCAATGAACTTGGAGATAAACTTGTCATTTCCCGTGATGCATTTGACACTTTCATGATTCTGAACAATGCCAACCTAGAGCAGTTTGCCACATGGCTCGAAGAAAGTGTAAATGAAATGGCCAAGTCACTGCGCCAGAAACTTCAAACAGAAAGCCCTGAGGAAAAGCTTCAGAGTCTTGGTATGAAACCGCAGGATGAACTTTTTGATAAACTGATTGGCTGTGGTAAACAGTGCCCTTTTTGTTCTGCTACATGTGAAGCAGGAGGAAGAGACCATTCTGAGCACTGGCCGACACTGCATCTGCCTCAAGCTTTTGGCAAGTACAGATGGCATCAATCACAGAAACTTAACATTGACATATGCTCATCTCTTGTTCTCACCAATGGCTCATTTCAGTGCGAGGAAACCAAGTGGCAGTGGCATCCATACAAGAGGTATAAAGAAATCTTTCCTGCCTGGAACATAGTACCTGATATAAGTCTGAAGGCTTCAAACTACTGGAAGTATGTCTTGGCAAAGTTCAATTTTCAGTTTGCAAGAGAATACAAGGCACTGCCGGCTAATATCCCCCAAGCCTGGAAATGGATCCCAAAGAAACAGGTTGAAGAAAGCCTCAAAGAGTCTTTTGGGATAAAATAAACTGTCTGCAAATTTGAATCATTCATGACATTGAACACAATCTCTTAAAGTGCACGTGCAAGAGTCTTTTTCTAATTCCTATTTAGTAAAAAAAAAAAAAAAAAGTATAAAGGCGTAGGTCACCAACACAGAAAATGTGACACAAATGCATGGACGGTTTCTGTGCTAGTAAAGATATTTTCATCTTTAGTTTAAACCATCATTTTACAAAATAAAGTTGTAGTTGTTTATTTTTTATTAGTTGAATTTTAATCATAATACAATGAACCACTTTTGACTCGTTAACATTATGGACTTACCTTTACACATGTTTTATCTGTTATCTGGATCCAACCAGGAAGAAAAATGATCAACTTAATGCAATTTAAAAAAACAAAACAAAACAAACAAACAAAAAAAAAAAACTAGACAATATTTTTAGAAAAATCTGAAATATAATGAATCAATTTTTTGTGAAATGAGTGGTGTAACCTGTCACATAAACTTTAATCTAGTCGGGGTTTATTGTGTTTGCAGATGAATCCAAAATCTGTAATTATTTTTCTCCAGTTTTTGCTTTGTTGCTTTATGACGTTAAGTATAAAAGTATTATAAATAAAACAAATAGAAAATTAGCAATTATGTTCTTTTTCTCCATTAACATGTATCTCTGGAATACTGTTTTTTCTTTTTTTTTTTTATGACATGAACAATAATATGTAACTCTGTTGAGTTTCCTTGACCTAACAGCCTGTGTTTTTGCATTACACCTGTTGTATAGTAGAGTGTGGATCAGCCAGAATTTTTCTGTCTGATGCTTTAAAAATCCTGGATCCAGTGTTGGGGAGTAACAGATTACAAGTACCGGAGTTATGTAATCAGAGTACAAATTATGAGTAACTGTATTCAGTTACAGTTACTGTTTCAGTGAGTGGTAATTGGATTACAGTTATTTTGTTGAAATAAATGGATTACACAGAGGGATTTTAACTGTTTTCACATTTGGGGCTATTCCCTTTTTTTTTTTTTCTCAGTAATTCCACTCATTGCCGGAAACTAAACCAGGTCTAAACCAGGTCTAAACCAGGTCTAAACCACGTCTAAACCACGTCTAAGCCAGGTCTAAGCCAGGTCTAAACTAGGTCTAAACCAGGTCTAAACCAGGTCTAAACCAGGTCTAAACTATATCTAAACCCAGGTCTAAAACCAGGTCTAAACTAGGTCTAAACGAGGACTAAAACCAGGTCTAAACCAAGACTAAACCAGGATTAAACAGGACTAAAACAGGACTAAATACGATATTACATTGATGCTAACAACATAGCCTACTTCTTATTCTAGTGAGTCGCCTTCACTGCTTCTGCACGAGAACAAAATGGAGTTTACACCTCACACCTCAGTCATTAGGACCTCTGATGTTTAGTGTCGCCTGTTCACATTATGACCTCCTCATTTGATCGAACATTATTATAGGATTCAAGTTTGCCCAATTATACCTTCTGTACGTTAACGAAAAATGTTTACTCATTTAAAGAACTTTATAAGTAGAATATATGAAGATATTATCAATTAATAATGTCTTAAACTGTCATAAAGATGAACAGATAAACAAAAGCGACAGTAGAAGCTCATTGTTCTACCCTGATATAATAAATTTATCTACTAGTGTTTATTAAAACTTAACCAATCAGTAATGTTCAGCTGATGTGGACTCGGTGCTTGAGCTTCGTGCTCCTCAAAGTCCTCGTCCGATTCCGGGTCCAACACATGAGGCTGAACGCTCTGTATCTCCATGATGAATAAAAGTTTATTCCTACCACTATCAGGGCCAGGTCTGTCTCCCCCTCCCTCCCTGAGACGGCGGAGGAAGGGCGACTCACTACATCTATGCCTACGTCACGTTTGGAGGGCGGAGCCTGTGCTTTCTCAGGATGGGTGGGGGGAGGAGCAATAGTCGGACTTTCATAGTTCCTGGTCTGTGACTGATTTCAGAACTATTGTGTAATGGATGTTCCAAAACCCAAACTGTGCAGAAGATACAATGTGAAAAGAATTATTTTGCATGACATGGGCCCTTTAACATAACACATGCCCAGTTTACATGAGAGTCTTAATTCTGATTAAAAATAATTGAATTTGGAATAAAAATGAATTCCACTTTAAAAAGATCATGGTAACACTTAATTCCTAATGATTGTTCAGAATTAAACTTATTCAGAATTAAACTTAAATCCGAATTAAGTGGGTGGTTTATTGTGACTTTAAAGCCATATTTATTTTTTCCTTGATCATGTAAACGTTTACTCCTCTTAAAAATAATTTCAGCGCACAAGTTCAGCTCGTGCTCATTGGGTCGCCCTTCTGACGTGATACAAGACGGTGAAAAAAGTTCATATCATGTTTGTGTTCTTGGTTCTGCCGTGGATGTTTCTCGTACCTTTGTTCCCCGAGAAAATCACAATAGGTCAGGTGTGCGAGAAACGTTTATTCAGAACAGTCATTTGATTTGAGGTCGCCCCCCACCCTGCGCCCCAAGACGTACCTCAGGACTGTGATGTAAAGTCACGGGCAGAAGAAATGTAATGACGTCACATTTTCTCCAAACTTCAAGCTCTTCCAAATAAAGTGAAATGATCAAAATGTGTCTGTGCAGATACATTTTCAGTTTTAAACTAAATATTAGTGACGGGCAAATGAGTCGGAGCTTCAGAGCTCGTCTCGCAGCAGCCGCTCACGTGACCAAAGTGTGTAAGTGTGGGTCCCTCCTCCTACTGCTTCGTCGATCGCTTCAGTGTATCGAAGCGTTTCATTGGCTCGGCAAATGTTCCGCTCTGCGATTGGTTCAGAGTGTTTCAGAGTGTTCGGTGCACTTCTGTGGTTTGACAAGCGCTAAACTGCTACAGTATAAAAGACGCACCAATATTTCTTAAAGATGTTGGGTAGTGAGGAGTATTGTGTGACGTTAATGGTGATTTTGGCGACTTTTGGTGTTTGTTTCATTTTCGATGGCGTCTACAAGTGGATCCATGGTTTGGGATCACTTTGATCTAATTCCACCTCACAAGGTCACACCTATTTTCTTATTTACAGCATGTTATTTATGTTGCTCTTTACATATTATTTTAAATAATCATTATTATTGTTGTTGTTGTTGGTACGGTGTCGCTCTGCACACAACTATAGGCGAGTTTCATTGTTGACAAAAGCGCGCGTTGCATGCTGGGAATTATTTTGGTTGGCGGCAAGAAACACTAATTCAACATGACGGACGGAGCGAGAAAACACGTAAAGGGTATTGATCCCGGTTATTTATCCACTCTAACGGCAGAGGACCCAAGACCATTTGACCAGAAATTGGTCATAAGCATCGACGGACGACAAATCACCCTTTTCAACCCCGACAGAACCTGGACCAAACCAAATTTCTGGTCTGAATCTCCAACTACCTGGACAAATATTCACTTGGGCGACATCCACAATGACTTGGTGGAAACTCCTGGGCCATTCACAGCAGAAAAGATGAAAACCTCCAAGAGTCTGGATGTGTTGTTGAACTTGTTGGAGTCCACGGTTTGTTAGGATCTTCTACGTTTGCTCTGCGGATGTTTGAAAGTCGTTTAATTCACCGTTAGCGGTTCTTTTTACTCAGAATATGAAAAAGACATTTTCCGTGCTTCTATTTGTGCATCTGATAATGCAGCAGGAGTTTAACATTATCGGGGAGAAATACGTGAGGTTACGCACTGTGTTTGACGCGAACGTGTTTCTTGCCTCCGACCAAAATATTTCCCAGCAGCAACGCGGGCTTTTAATAACAATGACGTCAGCTCAAACTCGCCTATTGTCTTACACTAATAATACTTCATCAATACTGAGACACCTGCGTGACAATGGTTAAATTTGTCCACTAGAGGTCAGTGTTTCTCCGAGGCCTCAGACACGTCCAACCATTTGAGACGATATTACGACTGAGGTGTCGATGCTTCACGAGGCTCTGTTCGACTGACTTCAGCTATGAGCATTTGTTTTGTTTTGTTTTGTTTCGTCTTAAAGTTTTTATTAAATTGGTATTTTATTCTTTTTATCCGTTACACCATTTTAGATTTCACTTCTGTTTAAGTTTTGCAATAATTAAAAAAATTTTGCTCCAACACTGTCCAGGACTAAACCAGGATTAAATTAGGACTAAACCAGGACTAAACCAGAACTAAATTAGGACCAAACCAGGTCTAAACCAGGACTAGACCAGGTCTAAACCAGGACTAAACCAGAACTAAATTAGGACCAAACCAGGTCTAAACCAGGACTAGACCAGGTCTAAACCAGGACTAGACCAGGACTAGACCAGGTCTGGCTTCTGTTTAATCTGTTAGAATGTAAAAACAGTGAGTGCAGTTCCCGGCGTGAACCTGCAGATGGCGCCACATTATTATTAGTTTGTATGAACCTAATGCAGAAAAACACACACACAAAAAAGAAATAATTTATTTTATTTTGCTCTATGTAAATGTTTGTAAAGTTTGGTCATGAATGTACAAAAGGAAACACGTTATTTTTTATTTTTGATGAGTTTTTGTAGAGTCTGGTTTGTGATCAAGTCCATGGACCCACAGTCAGATGGATCACTGTTATGAAAGGAAAGGATAAGGACTAAACCAGGACTAAACCAGGACTAAAACAGGACTAAACCAGGACTAAACCAGGACTAAACCAGGACTAAACCAGGTCTAAACCAGGACTCCCCCACTCGTTTCAGTTTTGGTCCAGTCCAGAACCTTAAAAGCTGAGCTTGTTCCTGTGGGGACTCATTTGGCCCCTGGACGTGAGAACAGGAAGTAAGTAACATTCAAAAACACTTTTTTATAAAAACCTGCAGATCCAGACTCAGCTCTTCTTCTCTCAGACTGAAACACTCGGCCTAAATCTAACATCTAAACACTTAAATCTACCAGAAAATGACTTAAAACTAGAGAAATGACGTGTTTGTGCAGCGAGATTATTTTAATTTAAGTGAAGTTTTCTTCAAATAAACGACGTCAGCACCAAAAAGAATCATCTGTGCTCAGAGTTTAAGAGCTGGAAATAAATAAAAAAAATGATCAATTCTAGATAGAAATACTTGAAATCATTGTACATGAGAGTCCTTCGTAAGAGTAGTACACTTAAAGTTAATTTTATTAAGTATACTTCAGTATATCAAGTACACTACAGAACAAGTACTTTTACTGTACTAGAAAATATACTCAATACTTTTTCATAGTTTTTTCTTTAAGTATACTTTAAAGTTCATTTTAAGTTTACAAAAGTACACTTTAAAGTTTACTTTAAGTAAACTTTGATAAACTTTGGTTATTTTTCTCATTTACTTGTTGTTGTACTTTAAGTTTGTTTGTCATTTTATTTGTACTTTACTCTTGTGCACAGACACTGGGAGGAAACTTGAACAATACTTTAAGGAGGATATTTCAAGTATTTAAATCAGGAGAGTCCAAACTTTTTTCATCCAGAGCCACATTTCTAAACCCAGATGAAGCAGAGTCGATCGAGGCCGGAGACTGGAGCTCAGTGCAGTGAATCACTGAAACATGTGCAGGTTTAACACGTTAGAATGAACCATCCGACTTTATTTACACGAAAATCCTGAAAAACACAAACTGAATATTAAATATTTGATTTATCAAGGTCGATTTTCACAAAACTTGTAGTAAATATTTCATTTATAAATGAAGCAAAGTCATTTGGGCCAATTCACCTGGAAATCTGAGGGCCAAGAAAAACTTGTCAGAGGGCCACATTTGGCCCCCGGGCCGTAGTTTGGACATGTCTGATATAAACAGTGTGACGCTTTTACAACATCACACGACACAACGTTGAAAACAAGTTTGATCTTTTTTCAAACATTTCACAAACAAAGATTATGAAAGTTCTTCTTCACTGGAGAAAATGAAAAGAAAAAGTGACATTTGAGGTCAAAATGTAAAGGAAATGTTCTCTCCAAGATCACGTCTTTATTTGTAAAAAGTGCTGAAGCTAAACTTTTGTATTTCAACAGAACAGAGTCTAAACTGAAAACTCAAGTCGACTTGAAGTAAACTTCACTTTACTATTGTAAAGTACAGAAATAATTTAGTTTATAAAAAGTCCTCAGTTTTTAGTGTAAAATAATTTCACTCATGATCCACTTGAATAAATTTCTTTCCAAACACTCGTCACATCAGAGGGAAAAAGTTTAAACTCAAGCTGCGCAAGACGTCGATTTTCAAGTGAACAGCTCCTTTTGTCACGTGAAAAAACCCAGACCCTCTGCTCCTGGTCCAGGTCCTGGTCCAGGTCCAGGTCCAGGTCCAGGTCCAGGTCTCGTTCTTCTCGTCTCTTTCCTCTTTTTAGTTTTTGAGTTTATTCCTGTTGTGTCCAGTAGATGGAGCCAAACCCTCAGGTGATTCATGTTTAAACTGTCGATTTGAGGCAGAAGTGAAGAAACTTGACCCATTTTAAAACTGAAGTGTTTTTTGGTTTTATTTTATGTTTGGTTCAGTTAAACATCGACGTCTGTTGGATTTGGATTTTCTGGATTGTCCTAAATTAAATCCTGGTTTAATCCTGATTTTGGTCCTGGTTTAGTCCTGATTTTAGTCCTGGTTTAGTCCTGGTTTAGTCCTGGTTTAGTCCTGGTTTAGTCCTGGTTTAGACCTGGTTTAGACCTGGTTTAGACCTGGAGATTTGGTTTGGCTTTTTTATTGGATCTGTAAAACTGTAAACTGCAGTATTGTGTGTATTTGTACTGCATGACTCAGCTAAAAGTACTACAGTATTGTGTATTTGTACTATAGTATTCAGGTAAAGTACTGAGGTATCGTGTGTATTTGTACTTCACACATAGAAAAGTACTGCAGTATCATGTGTTTGTACTATAGTACTCAGGTAAAGTACTACAGTATCATTTGTGTGTTTGTACTATATGACTCTGGTAAAAAATACTGCAGTATCATGTGTGACTTGTGTAAAAGTACTGCAGTATTGTGTGTGTTTGTACTGCATGACTCAGCTAAAAGTACTGCAGTATTGTGTGTACTTGTAGTACTTGGGACCGCCTCCTGTGGACTTGTGTGAACCTGCTGGTGGCTCCGCCTCCTCACAGGAAGTGACATCACAGAGTGTTTGTGTTCAGTCCAAACTCTTACACAACCACCTCTGCTCTACTGCACTGCGCTCCCTGTAAGTACTGCAAATACTACTGCAAATACTACTGCAAATACTACTGCAAATACTACTGCAAATACTACTGCAAATACTACTGCAAATGCTGCTACTACAAGTACTACAAGTACTACAAGTCATGCAAATAGTATAAATACTGCAGTTGTCAAAAGTACTTTGTGTTTGGGACTGTCTCCAGATTTGAAGAGTTTTAAATCGATTTGAGTCTGGACCTGGTTTAGTCCTGGTTTAGTCCTGGTTTAGTCCTGGTTTAGTCCTGGTTTAGTCCTGGTTTAGTCCTGGTTTAGTCCTGGTTTAGTCCTTGAAGTATTTTTCATGTGTAGTTTTTACTTTTACTTAAGTACTTTTGGCAGCAGTACTTTTACTTGTAATTGAGTACATCTTTAGCTGAGTAAATGTACTTCTACTAAAGTACAAAATTGCAGTACTTTTTGTTACTGCTACTGTGATTACTACTACAAATACTACTACTACTGTTACTGCTACTGCAACTATTACAACTACTTGTTCACCTGTCACCTCTGTACACACTGACAGTCCAACTGCCACACCCACATCTGACACACAAAAAAACTGGTTTAGACCTGGTTTAGACCTGGTTTAGACCTGGTTTAGACCTGGTTTAGTTCTAATGAAATCCTGGTTTAACCCTGATTTTACTCCACGTTTTAGACCTGGTTTAATCCTGGTTTAATCCTGGTTTAATCCTGGTTTAATCCTGGTTTAATCCTGGTTTAATTCTGGTTTAGTTCCTAGTTTGGTCCTGGTTCAGTCTTAATTAAATCCTTTTTAATTCTGATTTTGGTCCTGGTTTTAGACCTGGATTAGTCCTGGATAAATCCTGGTTTAGTTCTGATTTAGTCCTGGTTTAGTCTTGGGTTTGGTCCTGGTTCAGTCCTAATTAAATCCTGGTTTAAATCCTGATTTTGGTCCCTGTATTAGACCTGGTTTGGTCCTGGTTTGGTCCTGGTTTGGTCCTGGTTTGGTCCTGGTTTGGTCCTAGAAGTATTTTTCATGTGTACTTTTTACTTAAGTACTTTTGGCAGCAGTACTTCTACTTGTAATTGAGTGCATCTTTAGCTGAGTAAATGTAATTTTACTTAAGTACAAAATAGTAGTACTTTTCTGTTTCTGATACTGTGATTACTACTACTGCTACTACTGCTACTACTGCTACTAGCTACTACTACTGCTACTACTACTGCTACTACTACTACTACTGCTACTGCTACTGCTACTACTGCTACTACTACTACTACTACTACTACTACTACTACTACTACTACTGCTACTACTGCTACTACTACTACTGCTACTACTGCTACTACTGCTACTACTGCTACTACTACTACTACTACTACTACTACTACTACTACTGCTACTACTGCTACTACTGCTACTACTACTACTACTACTACTACTACTGCTACTACTACTACTACTACTACTGCTACTACTACTACTACTACTACTACTACTACTACTACTACTACTACTACTACTACTACTACTGCTACTACTACTACTACTACTACTACTACTACTAACTGCAACTACTACTGCAACTACTGCTACTACTACTACTGCTACTGCTACTACTACTGCTAACTACTACTACTACTACTACTGCAACTACTACTACTACTACTACTACTGCTACTACTGCTGCACTACTACTGCAACTACTACTGCTGCAACTACTACTACTACTACTACTGCAACTACTGCACTGCTACTACTGCTACTACTACTGCAAACTACTACTGCTACTACTGCTACTGCTACTACTACTGCTACTACTACTACTACTAACTACTACTGCTACTACTACTGCTACTACTACTACTACTACTACTGCTACTGCTACTACTGCTACTACTACTACTACTGCAACTACTACTACTACTACTGTGACGACTACTGCAACTACTACTACTGCTACTACTACTACTGCTAACTACTACTGCACTACTGCTACTACTACTACTACTAACTACTACTGCAACTACTACTGCTACTACTACTACTACTACTACTACTACTACTACTACTACTACTTGTTCACCTGTCACCTCTGTACACACTTCCAGTCCAACTGCCACACAAAAAACTGGTTTAGTCCTGGTTTAGTCCTGGTTTAGTCCTGGTTTAGTCCTGGTTTAGTCCTGGTTTAGTCCTGTACTTCAGTCCTGGTTCAGTTCTGTTTTTGTTTCAGAGTCTTAAATCCAAGATGGCGTCTCTGATGGAGGACGAGGTTTTTCGATCTTTCGCCAAATACGCGGCGATAATCACCACAAAACTCCTGCTGATGGGCCCCGTGACCGCGTACTACCGCTACTAACTACTGCTACTGCAACTACTACTGAACTACTGCTACTACTACTGCAACTACTACTGCTACTACTACTACTGCTACTACTACTACTACACTGTACTAAATACTACTACTGCTACTACTACTACTACTGCAACTACTACTAACTGCACTACTACGCACTACTACTACTACTACTACTACACTACTACTACTGCTGCTACTACTGCACTACTACTACTACTACTACTGCAACTACTACTACTGCAAGTACTGCAACTACACTACTACTAACTACTACTGCTAACTAACTACTACTGCTACTACTACTGCAACTACTACTGCTACTACTACTGCTACCCGCTAACTACTGCAACTACTACTGCTACTACTGCTAACTGCAAATACTACTACTACTACTACTGAACCTCTGTACTTCCACCTGCCACACAAAAATGCTACCTGTTTAGTACTGACCTGGTACTACCGTCCTGACCCGCAAGGTACTGCAAATACTACCTGTTTACTGACCGGTACTAGTCCTGACCGCAAGGTACTGCAAATACTACCAGTATGGCCTCTGACGCAAATACGCGCGATAATCACCACAAAACTCCTGCTGATACCCCGTACTACCGCGTACTACCGCCTGACCCGCAAGGTACTGCAAATACTACCAGTACACTACTGCCGCGTACTACCACCTGACCCGCAAGGTACTGCAAATACTACTACTACTACCGCTACTACCGCTACTACCGTACTACTACTGACCGCGTACTAGCCTGACCCGCAAGTACTGCAAATACTACCAGTACTACTGACTACTGCGACCGCTCTACTACTGCCTGACCCGCAAGGTACTGCAAATACTACCAGTACTACTACTACGCCTGACCCGCAAGGTACTGCAAATACTACCAGTACTACCGCCTGACCCGCAAGGTACTGCAAATACTACCAGTACTACCGCCTGACCCGCAAGGTACTGCAAATACTACCAGTACTACTACTGACCGCGTACTACCGCCTGACCCGCAAGGTACTGCAAATACTACCAGTACTACTACTGACCGCGTACTACCGCCTGACCCGCAAGGTACTGCAAATACTACCAGTACTACTACTGACCGCGTACTACCGCCTGACCCGCAAGGTACTGCAAATACTACCAGTACTACTGACCGCGTACTACCGCCTGACCCGCAAGGTACTGCAAATACTACCAGTACTACTACTGACCGCGTACTACCGCCTGACCCGCAAGGTACTGCAAATACTACCAGTACTACTACTGACCGCGTACTACCGCCTGACCCGCAAGGTACTGCAAATACTACCAGTACTACCGCCTGACCCGCAAGGTACTGCAAATACTACTACCAGTACTACTGCTACTGACCCGCAAGGTACTGCAAATAACTACGTACTACTGCCTGACCCGCAAGGTACTGCAAATACTACGATACTACGCCTGACCCGCAAGTACTGCAAATACTACCAGTACTACCGCCTGACCCGCAAGGTACTGCAAATACTACCAGTACTACCGCCTGACCCGCAAGGTACTGCAAATACTACCAGTACTACCGCCTGACCCGCAAGGTACTGCAAATACTACCAGTACTACTACTGACCGCACTACTACGCCTGACCCGCAAGGTACTGCAAATACTACCAGTACTACTGACCGCGTACTACCGCCTGACCCGCAAGGTACTGCAAATACTACCAGTACTACTGACCGCGTACTACCGCCTGACCCGCAAGGTACTGCAAATACTACCAGTACTACTGACCGCGTACTACCGCCTGACCCGCAAGGTACTGCAAATACTACCAGTACTACCGCCTGACCCGCAAGGTACCGCAAATACTACGAGTACTACTACTGACCGCGTACTACCGCCTGACCCGCAAGGTACTGCAAATACTACGAGTACTACTACTGACCGCGTACTACTGCCTGACCCGCAAGGTACTGCAAATACTACGAGTACTACTGCCTGACCCGCAAGGTACTGCAAATACTACGAGTACTACTGCCTGACCCGCAAGGTACTGCAAATACTACGAGTACTACTGCCTGACCCGCAAGGTACTGCAAATACTACGAGTACTACTGCCTGACCCGCAAGGTACTGCAAATACTACGACTACTCCTATTGACCGCGTACTACCGCATCACCCAGAAAGTACTTCTAGTGATACTAATACTACTACGACTGCAGCGCTTCCCTCACAATGTGTATGTGTTGGTGTATGAATCTGTGTACTCGTGCGTGTACTCGTGCGTGTACTCGTGCGTGTACTCGTGCGTGTACTCGTGCGTGTACTCCTGTGTGTACTGTGGTGTGTACTGACGCAGTACTTGTGTGTACTCTTGTATGTACTGATGCAGTACTTGTGTGTACTCTGGTGTGTACTGACGCAGTACTTGTGTGTACTCTGGTGTGTACTGACGCAGTACTTGTGTGTACTGACTACTTTTGTGTGTACTGACGCAGTACTTGTGTGTACTTGTGTGTACTCTGGTGTGTTACTCTGGTGTGTACTGACGCAGTACTTGTGTGTACTCTGGTGTGTACTGACGCAGTACTTGTGTGTACTCTGGTGTGTTCTCTGGTGTGTACTGACGCAGTACTTGTGTGTACTCTGGTGTGTTCTCTGGTGTGTACTGACGCAGTACTTGTGTGTACTCTGGTGTGTACTGACGCAGTACTTGTGTGTACTCTTGTGTATTTCTTGTGTTTCAGGCGTTTCAAAACCCTGAGGACGCAGCAGCTCATTCGTCTAAACCAGAAGATTTAAAACAACTCGTGAGAACAAACGATGACGTGGAGAGAGCACGAAGGTACTACTGCTACTACTACTACTACTACTACTACTACTGCTACTACTACTACTACTGCTACTACTACTACTGCTACTACTGCTACTACTGCTACTACTACTGCTACTACTACTGCTACTACTGCTACTACTACTACTACTGCTACTACTGCTACTACTGCTACTGCTACTACTGCTACTGCTACTACTGCTACTACTGCTACTGCTACTACTGCTACTACTGCTACTACTACTACTACTGCTACTACTGCTACTACTGCTACTACTGCTACTACTACTGCTACTACTGCTACTACTACTACTGCTACTACTGCTACTACTGCTACTACTGCTACTACTGCTACTACTGCTACTACTGCTACTACTACTGCTACTACTGCTACTACTGCTACTGCTACTACTGCTACTACTACTGCTACTACTACTACTGCTACTACTACTACTACTACTGCTACTACTACTACTGCTACTACTGCTACTACTGCTACTGCTACTACTGCTACTGCTACTGCTACTGCTACTGCTACTACTACTGCTACTACTGCTACTACTGCTACTACTGCTACTACTGCTACTACTGCTACTACTGCTACTACTACTGCTACTACTGCTACTACTACTGCTACTGCTACTACTGCTACTACTACTACTGCTACTACTACTGCTACTACTGCTGCTACTACTGCTACTGCTACTACTACTACTACTGCTACTACTACTACTGCTACTGCTACTACTACTGCTGCTACTGCTGCTACTGCTGCTACTGCTGCTACTGCTACTGCTACTGCTACTACTACTACTACTACTACTACTGCTACTACTGCTACTACTGCTACTACTGCTACTACTGCTACTACTGCTACTACTGCTTACTGCTACTGCTACTACTACTACTACTGCTACTACTGCTACTACTGCTACTACTGCTACTACTGCTACTGCTGCTACTGCTACTACTACTACTACTACTACTACTGCTACTACTGCTACTACTGCTACTGCTACTACTGCTACTACTACTACTACTGCTGCTACTGCTGCTACTGCTGCTACTGCTGCTACTGCTACTACTGCTACTGCTACTACTACTACTACTACTACTACTACTGCTACTACTGCTACTACTGCTACTACTGCTACTACTGCTGCTACTACTGCTACTACTGCTACTACTGCTACTACTGCTGCTACTGCTACTGCTACTACTGCTACTGCTACTACTGCTGCTACTGCTGCTACTGCTACTACTGCTACTGCTACTGCTACTGCTACTACAACTGCTACTACTGCTACTGCTACTGCTACTGCTACTACTACTGCTACTACTACTGCTACTGCTACTACTGCTACTGCTGCTACTGTTACTACTGCTACTGCTACTGCTACTGCTGCTACTGTTACTACTGCTACTACTACTGCTACTACTACTACTTGTACTCTGTTGTTGTTTCTGTTTGTTGTTGTTTCTGTTGTTGTTGTTGTTGTTTGTTGTTGTTTATGATTGTTGTTCTTTTGCAGGTGCCATCAGAACGACCTGGAGAACATCGTTCCGTTCGTTCTCATTGGTTTTCTTTACTCTCTGACCGGCCCCGATCCGGCCTGGGCCCTGCTCCACTTCCGCGTCTTTGTGTGTTCTCGTTTCATCCACACGGTGGCGTACCTGCGCGCTCTGCCGCAGCCGTCCCGCGGCCTCAGCTGGATCGTGGGGCTCCTGACCACCATGTCCATGGCCCATAGTGTGGTCCACAGCGTCGTCTTCCACTGAGAAGACCACCAGCACCACCAGGAGGGAGTATTATACTTGTCTGGGGTCATGAGGAGGGAGTATTATACTTCTCTGGGGTCATGAGGAGGGAGTATTATACTTCTCTGGGGTAATAACACATTGTTTTGGGTGAATATATATTTTTAAAATAAATGGAACATGTTGGTGTAAATTTGTGAACTGTTGAGATTCACACCGAAGCGTCAAAATGTCCAGTTTATATGTAAAGTCTGTGGAGGGGCGTCTGGGGCGTCTGGGGCGTCTGGGGCGTCCTGAGTTTTTGCGGCGTGTCTTCAGAGTTCTGGCGTCAACGCTCTAGACATGCGTCCAGAGCGTCAGCGGCAGAAGATGAAAATGCTGAACTTTTCACATCGGACGCGCCACATCAACCAATCAGGGACGAGTATCCAGAGACGTAGAGACGTTATTATCCAGAAGAAAGAGAAAGACCCAAGAACCAGAGACACAAACATTAGCAGAGTATAAATATATACACCACAATCACCGAGCAGATCACCAGGACTAGACCGGGACTAGACCGGGACTAGACCGGGACTAGACCGGGACTAGACCGGGACTAGACCGGGACTAGACCGGGACTGATCCAGTGACATTAGTGGAGTATAAATATAAACGCGCCGAGTCGATCTCCTCCTCTGATGGTTTTATGTAATAAAAACACTAAAGTCTCTCAGTCTGGTCCATCGTTTTGGGAAAAGACCGGGACCGGGCTCTTGTTTCCAGGGCAACAGACGCTCGTCAAGTATTTTTCTCCCATTTGTCCACGGCTTCTGAACTCAAATGCAAAGGCTCCAAATAGAGACATGAAGGACATTTTTTGACACTTTGGTGTGAACACCCAGTTAAAACTCCAGAGTCGATATTTCCTCTTTAAGGATAAAACTAAATAAGTTGATCTAAACGTACATTCCTGCTCTTGTATTTTGGTCTTTTCGCTTTTTGTAATTTGTTATTCTAATGTGAAGAAATATTCCGCCGTGGGGCTTTAACCCTGTTCTGATCCTGATGTGTAAAACACAGAAAACACACGACTTCATCCCACAAATCAAAGGCTTTTTGTAAAATCATTTTTCAAATAAAACTGATATTTTCCATCTTCTTGGTCTGAATCATGGTTTTATTTTCTCCTCTGTAGACGGACTGAACCAGGACTGAACCAGGACTGAACCAGGACTGAACCAGGACTGAACCAGGACTGAACCAGGACTGAACCAGGACTGAACTAGAAAAGCAGTCAGAGAGCGCAGACCTCCGCCAAGGACTACCCCCATTTTTTATATAAATTGTGATAAAATCAGTCTTCTGGATCAGATCCGGATCAGCCTTTGGAATATGAAAGAGGATCCCATTGTCCATCCCTGAGTCAAATTTCATGGGGTTTGGTCAATAATTAACCGAGATATTGAGAAACACAATTTTTGGCCCCATTTACCACAATGTTGACTAAAATTTCAAAGTGATCCAGAATCCAGGATTTCTTCTGGATCACCCCCAAAATGAAATCAGTTCTTCCTTTGCACATTTCCAACAAATCCTGAAAATTTCATCAAAATCAGTCCATAACTTTTTGAGTTATGTTGGAAACAGACAAACAAACAAACGCTGGTAAAAACATAACCTCCTTGGCGGAGGTAACCAGGACTAAACTAGGTCTAAACAAGGACTGAACCAGGACCAAACCAGGTCTAAAACCGTGGACCTAACCGTGGACTGAACCAGGACCAAACCAGCACTAAACCGTGGACTGAACCAGGACTAATCTTGGACTAGAACTTAGAATCTAGGCCCGCCCCTGAGAGGATCCCGAGCTCGATCGTGCGTCGTCTGTTCTTCGTCTCGTGGAGCGTGGAGTTCTGCGTCGGTCCTTTCACCTGCGGTCACCGGACGGTCTACGCGGGCTTCACCTCCGCACCGACCCGACACTCGGAACCGTAACGATGGTCACATTTGTACACAGGAAAATATTACCACGTTTTTCCCTGTAATGCCACTTTACTGCATTAAAGTAAAAAAAACAACGCCGCACAGTAACTCACTACTTTTCCTACACGTTACTCCCAACACTGCACATCATGTAACATAAGCCATGACATCAGTCCATCAATCATATGTCCTCATCGAGCGAGTTTAATTTAATATTCTTGATTTAGCCACCAGGGGTCAGTGTTTGTAAGAAATAAATATAGAAACTTTCTCTTCGTAGGAACAGTCTGTTAATATCTCCTCCTCTCCTCATTCGTCGTTCATCTCTTAATTATCTAAGGAGAATTTCATATCCATAAATGTAAATAAGAAAATAACTAAGTCTTTATTTCTATAGAGCTTTTAAAGACCCTTTACAGAACATTATTCACCGACGTCCTCTGTGTGTTTCCTTCAATAGTTTGTGTAGATTCATCTTGCAATGTCCATGTCTCACGCACCATTGGATTTTGTATGAAACTCTGGATTGTTTACCTCCTGATGCAAGAATGCGCTTTCACTGGTTTCAGTTCATCTTTAAATGCATTTTTCTTTTCTGTCCATCTTACCTCCAACAATACTTTATTCCATTTTCTTCACCATGCTCTCTGACAATTAGACCGTCCTTCCTTTGTAGTACCCAGGACCTCCAGAGTCACTGGACGAAGAGCGTTCAGAGTCAAAGCACCGTCAGACTGGAACAATTTGCCAAACTCTCTGCGCTCCACATCATTTTTTTAAATTTTTTTTATTTATGTTTATTAAGGACATCACAATCGCATTAGACAAGCCAGATGCTTTGAGTGTTTTAGCACAAGTGTAGTTTTCAACACCTGTCCATATAAAAATATAAACTACATGCATAAAAACAGAGAATACAAGACACATAAATTACATACAGATAAAATATATACAGAACATTTTCAGTGGATGCAGTTTTGATTGGAAACATACAATAATTTTAATTTCCTTTTAAATTTGTTGTAGTTGGTTTCCAATTTTAAATGAGCTGGTTAAACCGTTCCACAGACTGGCCCCTTTAAAAGAGAACGAGGACTGACCCAGAGTCGTCCTGTACCTGAACAACACAATCACCATGAGCAGCGCCTCTTGTGTTCGCTCTGTGTGAACATTTTATGGTCCTGGCAAATTCTGAGTGTAATGGTGTATCGCAGTTAAGACACTTAAAAAATAATTTAAGATTATTAAAATTGATAAAATTTTCAAAGTTAAAAAGTTGATGTTTCTTTGTAATTTCACAGTGGTGCCAGTTTTTGGTTTATGGAATCATCATTCCACATCTTTAAGAAAGACTTATTCACTCATCTTAAAACACAATGTGATGCTTTTAGTGAGGGATTTGTACGGTTGTTATATTAACGTTTCTCTATGTTTATGTTTAATGTCTGTGTCTATGTACTCTGTCTTATCGTTCTGTGTTTCTGTTTTAGATATGTTGTTTTGTTTTGCTTGTTTGTATTTTTGAGGCTTGTTGTTTTCTTTGGATGATGAGGATCCCCCTCGAAAACGACGTGACTCACCTCAAGGGGCTTTTCCTTAATAAAATAAACGTACAAATAAATTCAGCATCATTCATTTACTCTACACCTGCTGATGGTAAACTACTGTTGTAGCCACAGCTGCCCTGGGGCAGACTGACAGAGGGGTCAGTCTGTATGAAATCAGCCGCCCTCCCCTATGAGCCGTCTCAGATTTGGCTCTAAAATTTCTAAAAATTCTAAAATCACCAAATGAAAGAATCTCAAATTTTAGCTCAGTCCCTTGAGTCGTTCCTGAGTTATGGCCCAGTGAAATTTTGGGGCCATGTTCACTTTTTCTGAAGCCTTAATTTATAAACATGTTTGAGACCAGAACTTCATCTAAAATTGAGCGAGGAAGCTGAACATTCGTATCATTGTAGATTCTTGGTCACAGATTCTGAATCTGTTGTCAAATATTGTGTATCTTTATTGAGGGGGGCGCTGTGGGCCCCAAAATCTCACATTTGGTCACTGCTCAATTTTTTTTTTTCAATTTTTAAGTTCCTAGATCTATTTCCTCCAAGCAGATCTTTACAAACTAACTGAACCTGAATATTTGAGACAATGAACATTTCTGACACAAATCTCACACTTTTCTGAGTTTTCATGTGGACGGTGGAGAGTCTCAAATATGTTCACAGTCCAGGTTTGATCTTTTTGGCTCCTTCTTTGGAGCCTCAGTTCCACATGTGACACAGTTAGATGTTGATTAATTTTTTACCAGAGAAACTTTGTCATATTCTGATGAGTTTAAAGTCATAAAAATATCTACTATTAACTTCCTTCATTTCAAACAGAATTTTTGAAAATGAGTCTCGTGGGTCATTTTTGGTGGAGCTTAGGGACTTTTCCACCTGCAGAAAGATTCAATTATCTGCAAGGACCAGTCTTCAACTGACAAATATCAAAATTGATCTGACTGACAAAAAACAAATATTGACCACACTCCAGATGTTTGAGTGAACTTTACAAAACATAAAGAATTTAAAGTTTTTCTTTACAAGCTCTAAAGACATAACAAACCATGAACTTATTTTCAAACTAGAAGAGCTACAGCAAGACAAAGACTGGGAATGGTACTAGATCACACCACAGTTTCATTCTGGTGTCAGATTAGAAATGAGGAGAACATCTCAAGATCATTTATGTCCTGAAGTTTCAGTTTCTGAAATACAAAATGAGATTGTATCAGATTTCTCTGTACCAGGTCAGTACATGCATGTATTTATGACATCAGGTGGTTCACTGGGAATATTTCAGAGTGTTCAGATGAACATGGTGACGTCTATGTGAGAATGGAGACGACAGAACCCTCATGTGTCCTCCTGAACATCGGCAGAAACTTGTTGGGTCCCATTTCAGAACAGAATCTGTTGTGTTAAGGTTCCAGAAGTTCAGAAAAGAAGAGCACGAGATTATCTCCTTGACCCTGCAGATTATGACACGATCCAAACATGACTTGAGAAGTTCATTAGTCGTGAGGAACACTTAGTGTGCAAGATACAAAAGCAGATGATCTACATGTTCAGATTTTTCCAGTATGTTGGTATTTTCTGTTGAGGTTGTTTTTCACACAGATTTTTTAAATGTAATTTCTATCAGATGAACAAAAACAGATCAGATTATTGTATTTTGGTAACTTTTGTGTCAGTATCAAATTTTTCCTTGTTCATGTTATTTCCTTCTTGTAATATTTTTGTGCAAAAATAATATACATATAGTGGTACTGAAAGTCATGGTTATAGAATCAGAGACTTCGTGATTTAACAGGAAATGTAATTTGCCTTTGATCAGTTTCTATAAAAACTATCTTAACTTTTGTTGTTTTACTTATACAACATGAAAAACTGTTTCTTTGTGAGAAAACAAATTATCTTCCTCAAATAAAAATAGAATAAATAATGCAAACAAACCTTTTTTCATAATTTTGTACAGAGTTAATAGTTGAATTTTCTCAAAGGATTAATGACACTTTTCCAAGTAATGTACCACAAATAATCTCCAACTGTTTTCCCTTAGAACAAACAAATAGTGTTTAAGTTTATTAAAGGGAAGTGAATCTTTCTGCAGGTGGAAAAGTCCCTAAACTCCACCAAAAATGACCCATGAGACTCATTTTCAAATATTCTGTTTGAAATGAAGGAAGTTAATAGTTGATGTTTTTATGACTTTAAACTCATCAGAATATGACAAAGTTTCTCTGGTAAAAGTTTGATCAACATCTAACTGTGTCACATGTGGAACCGAGGCTCCAAAGAAGAGGCCAAAAAGATCAACATTTGGTCTGTGAACATATTTGAGACTCTCCACCGTCCACATGAAAACTCAGAAAAGTGTGAGATTTGTGTCAGAAATGTTCATTGTCTCAAATATTCAGGCTCAGTTAGTTTGTAAAGATCTGCTTGGAGGAAATAGATCTTGGACCTCAAAAAAAAAAAAAAAAAAAAAGAGCGGTGACCAAATGTGAGATTTTGGGGCCCACAGCGCCCCCCTTAATAAAGATACACAATATTTGACAACAGATTCAGAATCTGTGACCAAGAATCTACAATAATACACAGTTTCAGCTTTCCTCGCTCAATTTTAGATGAAGTT